GGCATGATCCGCCTAGGGTGCGGCGCATCACTCGCGTCAATTCCGAGGCCCCATCACTGCAGGAGATTGAAGCAGCTATCCGAAGCATGAAATCCAACAAGGCTCCAGGGGTCGATCGCATATCAGCAGAGATGCTCAAAGCTGACCCAATGCTATCCGCACAAATGTTGCATCAACTATTCTGTAATATCTGGGACACCGCGACTTTTCCGGCCGACTGGATGCAGGGCATCTTAGTGAAGGTCCCAAAGAAGGGGGATCTGACTGTGTGCGACAATTGGCGAGGCATCATGTTACTGTGTATTGTTCTCAAAGTTCTGTGCAAAGTTATCCTGAATCGGATACAGGAGAAGATCGACGCGACTCTCCGACGGCAGCAGGCAGGATTCCGTGCCGGAAGATCTTGTGTGGACCATATTGTCACGTTCCGCATCATCCTGGAGCAGGTCAATGAATTCCAAGAGTCCCTTTATTTGGTATTCATTGACTACGAAAAAGCTTTCGACCGTCTCAATCACGAGAATCTGTGGGGCGCCTTGAGACGCAAGGGAGTCCCGGATAAAATCGTCAATCTCATCGAAGCGCAGTATGAGGCTTTCACGTGCAGAGTTCTACATAACTGAGCCTTGTCCGACCCTATCCGGGTAGTCGCTGGTGTGAGACAAGGATGTATACTATCACCGCTACTGTTTATCATCGTAATCGACGAGATCATGGTAGGTGCAATTGACCGTGTACCGAACCGTGGGCTGCTTTGGCAGCCTATCACAATGGAGCATCTCAACGACTTCGATTTGGCTGGTGATGTTGCTCTACTAGCACAACGGCGCTCTGATATGCAGAGTAAGCTCAATGACCTAGCCGAACGCTCCTCTGCGGCGGGTCTCACCATAAACGTCAACAAGACTAAATCGTTGGATATCAACACGGGCAACCCTTCCAACTTTACGGTAGCGGGGCAAGCAGTGGAGAAGGCCGAAAGTTTCCAATATCTTGGCAGCCAAATAGCGTCGGACGGCGGGACCAAGAGCGACATAGGTGCACGAATCAAGAAGGCTAGGGCTGCCTTTGCGAGTTTACGAAACGTATGAGGATCCAACCAGATAAGTCCACGCACCAAAATCCGAATTTTCAACTCGAACGTGAAATCTGTGTTGTTATACGCCAGCGAGACGTGGTGTGTATCAGCGGAGAACACTCAAAAGCTGCAGGTCTTCATCAACCGATGCCTGCGGTATATAATTTGTGCCTGGTGGCCTCACAACTGGATCTCGAATGCCGAGCTCCATCGTCGATGTCATCAGAAGCCGATAGCAACAGAAATTCGAGAGCGAAAGTGGAGGTGGGTCGGCCACACACTTCGACGGGGCGGAAACGAAATCTGCAAGCAAGCGCTGGATTGGAATCCAGCAGGACATCGCAGCAGAGGCAGACCCAGGGGCTCATAGCGGCGGAGCCTCAATAAGGAAATCAATTTAATCTATATTATACTAATGCTGTGATATCAAACTACCCTTTGTGATCCTACGTCAAATCTATGGTCGTGTCTTGAATACAACCTCTTACTTTTTTTCTCCATTTTCTTGCATTGGACTGCAGCTCGGTATATCGCATCCTCCGTTCATGCGGTCTCCACTAACATCCTGCGATGATGAATCCCTCTTAATTGTAAGCAAATCTTACATCGTTTGGTTGGGTGTAAGAATTTTTAAGGAATTTCAAAAAGTTTGGGAAAATTTCTAAGGGAATTCTAAGCAAAGTTTCGAGAGAACTGTAAGAGATCCTCCTCAAAAGCATTGTGAGAAGCATTTCAAGGAAATTCTGAAGATAATTTCTATGGAATTCAGACGTAATAAAAATATTAAAAATATTGGGATAACAGATTTCTAAAGTCTAAATGGCATACCACGAGATTTAGAGGAATATTCCATGCGGATTGTAAATAATATAATACAGAAAAATTAAAGCCATTCCTCGCGAGAATGTTTAAGAATACTCATATGAATATAGAGTACATTTCAAGAGTTTTCTGACGGAAAGTACTAAAATGTTCTGCGAAAAATTGACTTTTAAAGAGAAACTTTCTACGGATTACCGGACAGAATCATAAGTTGATTTAGGACAATCTTGAAACTAAAAGTAATTTTTAAGACATATTTAAATGATCCTAAGAAATCTCTTCAGAAATGTGCAAACATATCCTGAGATAAGTGTCAAAATACACAATATAGTAAAGTTTTAGGTTCCATACACAGAAATTTAAGGATTAACAAAAATGGTCAAAGCTGTGAGACTTAAGATGAAAAAAGATTTGAAGATCCTGGTATTAGGAAGCTTTTTAAGATTATGGGGCTAGATTCAAAACTCGAAGAAAAATATTTGAGACAACGGACTTTGAATATATATATATAATTATATATGTTAAAGTTCCAATAAAATTCTCGGTTATTTCCCGGTTGTGTTCGATTCCCGGTTTCTCGGGTCAGTGACCAGCCTGCAATATGCATATCGGTGAAAACTATTGATAACTATTTTTATATGGATTAAGTAGCGCTTTAGTTCTTCTTTCAAATGCAATTGGTTTGGTTTGCCCAATTATGCCCGACTTCGAGTTGATGATCTAAAAAAAAGTGCTATTTTTGGGTCATAATCATGAATAACTCATAAATAAACGATAAAAACTTACTTCCAAAGGCAAAATGTCGCATCTTTATGATACAAAAAAGTTTGTTGAATATTTCGATAACGAGAAATTTTCACCAAAAAAGTTATTGATTAAACATTGATTTTAAGAAATATCCATTCACAGAAAAAATTCTGAATTTCACTTAGATAGATAAAGGGTGATACGGTCAAAATTTGGTCAATATCAACTTGACGTATTTCTTTCAATTTTGCATTTAAAAAACCTGAACACCCCTCATTTTGAAGGTGTGTGTGTGTAGAATGTTGCTCCTATTTTGATTTTGGAATTCACTCTTCAGTTGTCAAAATGCCGTCCAAGCAAGAAGAGCAGCGTATCAAAATTTTGCTCGCGCATCGCGAAAATCCGAGCTACTCGCACGCAAAGTTGGCAAAATCGCTAAAAGTTGCCAAATCAACCGTTACAAATGTAATTAAAGTGTTTGGGGAACGTTTGTCGACAGCCAGGAAGTCTGGATCGGGGGGAAATCGAAAACCGAGAGCCGCTGAGGCGACAAAGAGAGTTGCCGGTAGTTTCAAGCGAAACCCTAACCTCTCTCTCCGAGATGCCGCAAATAAGCTGGGTGTATCGTCTACAACCGTGCATCGAGCCAAAAAACGAGCCGGACTATCGACTTACAAGAAGGTAGTGACTCCAAATCGCGATGATAAACAAAATACGACGGCCAAAGCGCGATCCCGGAGGCTGTACACGACGATGCTGACGAAGTTTGACTGCGTGGTAATGGACGACGAAACCTACGTCAAAGCCGACTACAAGCAGCTTCCGGGACAGGAGTTTTATACGGCAAAAGGAAGGGGAAAGGTAGCAGATGTTTTCAAGCACATGAAACTGTCAAAGTTCGCAAAGAAATATCTGGTTTGGCAAGCCATCTGTACCTGTGGCTTGAAAAGCAGCATTTTCATAGCTTCCGGGACTGTCAACCAAGAAATTTACGTGAAAGAGTGTTTGAATAAACGTCTGCTGCCTTTCCTGAAGAAACACGGTTGTTCCGTACTGTTTTGGCCGGATTTGGCATCTTGCCATTACGGTAAAAAGGCCATGGAGTGGTACGTCGCCAACAACGTGCAGGTGGTTCCCAAGGACAAGAACCCTCCCAACACGCCAGAGCTCCGCCCAATTGAGAAATACTGGGCTATTGTCAAGCGGAACCTAAAGAAGACCAAAAAAACTGCTAAGGGCGAGCACCAGTTCAAGGCAAACTGGCTTTCTGCGGCGAAGAAGGTGGACAAGGTGGCTGTACAAAATCTGATGGCAGGGGTCAAGCGTAAGGCCCGGCAATTCGGATTTGGAAAAGCGGAAGCCTAACTGAATATTTTTCCTGAATTTTATACTAATTGAACTTGAAAAAGAAATTTAATTTGATTTTTTAAATAAACGATTTCACCGATTTACACGCGTTTTCCCTTGACCAAATTTTGACCGTATCACCCTTTAGTTTACTAAAGGTTAAGGGGGGTGGTGTTTCTAACTGGACTCTCACAACCGTGACTAACGGAAACCGTTGAACTTCCGTTTCCTCCAAGCCAAACCTTTAGGTGTTTATCAGAGGCATGCAAGGACAATCATTTACATTCATTAACATTAATTTGCCTCTAAATTTTTTCATCATCAGAATTCCGTAAAGTGATGTATAAAACTTTTGTAGGTTTCATGATTAACTACAACTTTTGTCGACAACTCAAATCTGTATCTCTTATTCATGAGGAACTAGAGCGGGCAGAACTTGTTATTGTTTTTCAGTGAAAAAAAACAATGGAGGATTCTGTTCGCTCTGGTTCATCATGCATAAGAGATACAGATTTGAATTATCAACAAAAGTTGTAGTGATTTATAAAACCTACAAAAGCTTCATACAGCGTTTTAATGAATTGTGATGATGAAAAAAAATAGAGGTAAATGAATGTAAATTAATGTACGAAATGAATGTAAATCATTATCCATGCCTAATCAGAGGAGTCACAGAATTTTCTAATGTTGATTTGTACTAGTAGAAGAAGGAACACAAATTTGAGAATTAGTTTCTTGTTGTGAATTGGTGTGTTTAGGGGTCATCCACAGATTATGTAAGAACCCCGTAAAGATACTGTTAGATTTTCAGTTTAGCTCACTACCTAAAATCTTAGTAAGATCACAAAATTTTCAGAAACAGTTTATCACATGTACAGTTTTGTTGGCATTACATTATTTTTAATTAACTATTGAATCTTATGTAAGAAAATGTCAACACCGGCTGGCTGGTAGGTTTTCGACTATCATTATTACCATAGAAAATTCGCAAATGCTTGCTACTTACATCTTTCATAAGTTCCTTGCGTAGTTCTGCCTCGTCGTATTCGGAGTTAAGATCGGTATGATCGGTCTCGTAGACAGGTTCCCCCTCCGGACACTGGGAAATGCTTCCAATACTTCCAAGCGAACCGGCAATTGTTGATATATGCTCGATGTCGGCCAACGTTTCCTGTTGGCTATGGCTAGCTGCATCGGTTTTGGCAGTACCACCTCTATCGAAGCCAGGCCACATCACTTCTTTCTTCTTTATGCATAACTTCAACTCACTATAGTCCACACTCACTGTCACCGATTGTTCATCCATCTGTTCATAACGCTAGATTACACTATTTTATTCGAATAAATCTTGCCAATTATTAACCGGACTTAGTGAGCACATAGTATGTTTATATTATCATTATAACTACGGCAGTTAATTAGATTGCTGAACACATTTATGGCAGTGCGGCTTTTACAAAATGGCACGCGTTGTATAGGTGTGTAAGAGAAGGAGGGAAAGCCTCTCGCTGAACACAAGGCGGAACACACACCTTGACCGGGACTAACTGTTTCGAATCACGCAAATTTTCATGTCCTTCTTAATTGTTGCGAAAATAAGGTGTACGAGAGCCGTCGGTCGTTGAGGTATTTCAAATACACCGTAACATCACCCGATGACATTGTTTCCTGTGGATGAATAAATGAGAATAACGTTATTACCTAGAGGAAACAATTAATTACTGTTATTAAAATGAGTGTCACGTCACATGGGGAGGGGGGGGAGGGCGAATTTAGTATAATCAGTTAAAACATAGAATAATATATGAATATCAGGACATGAATGATGCACTCTTTCTTAACGTGTTGTGTTAATCGGACGCTTTTTCACTGAGAAAATGAACTTCTTATTTTATAATATTTGAAAATTCAGCAAAATTCTTATTAACCATTCAATGCCATAAATTGTTGAACCATAAAAACATTGAAAAATAACATTTTTATGATTACATCGCCGCATAAATTATCAATATTATTGTGCGGCCACCCTTACAATGTCACGCCTATAACCCATAAAGCTACCCGCAGGTAGGCGCCAACTCATTACCCTTGTGATTGAGAGTTTTCCCTCCGGTGCTGCCATTATAGCTTTCTCTGCATGAACACGAATAAAACGATAGCCAAAGATACACGAACCAGATAGTCAGCATTGATCCTGGTGCTGGTAGCCATATGATTGAGTCATGTTAAATATATACATGCTTGTCACAGGCGATTAAAAGCAAACATAAATTATATTTAACTTCAATCGAGATCATTCCCTACAGATACCAATGGTGATGGCATATTCCCAGAGGGAAAGTACCTATCTATCGTATTGGAGGCTTATCTAAGAGATCCGTTATTTCATGACTCCATAAAGCGATGCAGCAGCATCCAAAAAAAGATGGGCTTCTGCAGAAGTCCTGTCGTTGCATTCGGAGGGGTCCGCTTGGAAAAGAAAACGAAAAGCAACGAAGGAGAAAATCCTAAATCATGTTGATGCCAATACAGAGAAAGCAAGATATGCTAGAGCAGCACTGGAGGTGGCGATGATGGTTCTGATTAATGTGCGAGATAGACTGAGGATTAATAGTGTTTGTGTTTTCTTTATTCATGAAATCCTGATTCTGATTACCAGCATTGATTTTAGGCCGAAATTTCCAGCAAAGCATTTGGCCCTTGTTTTGTGCATGAAATGCATTGAATCACGTTTGATACCAGTCGGTACGGGTAGTTTCTACTAAACTTACTGATTAAGATACCATGAAATGAAACTGACATTTCAGACATCAAATATGCACTCAAATTATATCCCAAGCATTTTAAATAGTCCGACCTACGTTTAAACACAGTTATTCAGAAGAAAGCCACGTGACATTTTCTCTTCTTTTATTCATAAGCCATGTGCCATGTTCTCATAGCCACGACCCACGGCAATAACATTTGTAGGTAGGTGCATAGAAATGATATTTTCATAAAATTTCTATTGAGTCAATGCACTGCGAAACGATATGGTTTACAAATGAAACCATTGCATATTTACGACGAACGTCGTGTCCGAAATGGCGGATTAATCAACTTTTATGTACACACATAAAACAAATTTGCGAGGTCGCCAGAAAAAAATACTGAGCTGACACGGAAATTCATAATATTACTGATATCTCGGCAACCAAAATTTTATTGTGCAGTTTCGAACCCTTTTGGATACGGTTGTATTTTAAGTTTGCTCTCTGTTTTGTGCGTGCGTTCGCTTTCATAGTTTTCGGCTGCATTTGCCGGATTAGCGCTGGCACTCTGCCATGGCACACGGTTATACGTGTGTGATTGGTGTTTTTCTCGCTTATCGGGAAGTTTTAGAATCGAGAAAGAAAACGTGATTCATCATGTTTGCAATCATCAGAAGAGATGTCGCTATCTGCGTGGTTTGATTTTTTTCTCCCGGACCATAAATTTGTGGCGCGACTGATAATTATTAATTTCAGTTTATTTACGCGCTGTAAGGTGCGATAAACGGTATTCTGCCCATTGGATCTGTGACTCCGTTTTCCGTTGCTGTTGATTCCATCGAAAGTTAAGTATTTTCTCCTGCGGGAACGGAAAAGTCGGAGAAAATTCTTGTTGTGCAGCAGATGATGTTCTGTGTATGATATGAAGTAAAAGTGGTATATCAGAAATAACTTGGTGCGATCCTTAAGATGATTCGTTACAAGGAGTGTTAAGATGCCACTAGCTTGCAACCAACTAGACCGGATTACTGGAAACATTGGATTTCCATTATTAACATTATATGTACAATTTAATAGATGACATATTATAATCTGTTACTTTTATTGCTTCCATTTGAATAATGATTTATTGTTATTCAAGTTGAAAAGACATAGAGGTTTTGTGCCTACGGGAGAAGAGGTATTAAAATTATCTTCTCTCCCGCGGGTTTTCCCCTCAATCAATAAAAAAAATTATAAAACGCAACATAATTCCTTCCTTTTAATTAGCTACGGGTGTGACAACGATGGTGAGTTCACCATGTTATATCTTCATTTTATTTCAGTTACCTTATCTTCCAGGAGACGCTCTGGACACATCCCTACTAACATAATTCCTAAATTCCCGAGATATTTATGAGGGGTCGTAGAGTTCTCTGCATCTCTCTTAAGTAAATGTTGGACTAACATACCTTTCCTATCCCTACCAGTTGTAAGGACGTGGCCAGGACAATCCTTAATAAATACCCATCTTGCTCTTAATAGTTTTGAATTCGCACCACCTACGATATTGTGTAACTTGTTCGATGCTAATGCTAATGCTAATCTCGGCAACCAAAATATTATTTGCCTAGATGTACCAAAAACATTTGCCGACATATCAGCAACTCAGCAAATTTTACCGAAATTCGGCAAAGTAATTCACTGAGCACACCTGTAAATAAAAATAATACCGAAATCAGCAATCGAGTTTACTGACCGAATTTCGCTGTCACTTTTTTAAATCGCGGAGTAATGAATTAGTTTCTGGTTCATGTGCAAAAGGAGGATGTAAGGACGATCTTTTTCGTAAGTACACAATTGTTGATAAGATCGGCAGTATTTTCTTTTCTTTTTTTATTAATTTATTTATTTTTTTATAACCTCAGATTATTGATGAAGTTTATCATTTCGTCGGATCAAACTAAAACCCATATCCTTAATCTTTGAAAGAAAACTGTGAAGGTCTGTAGACCGGAATAATCATAGGAATAATGTGAAGGTGTTGCATTCCATTTCATCAAAAATGATTTCTTGAGGGCTATACTGGCAAAAACTGTATCAACTTCCTGCATGTGATGCATTGTTATGGATTTTAATAAATAAACAGAATGATAATCCCATTGCAGTGTTTCTTATTTTGTATCTATTTTTCACATGACAATTTTTTTTTCTTTAACGCAAGTAAACAAAATATTAAAAAATTCCAAGATGCTTTTGCCGAGCAATCAGTTATTTTTTTTTACTGAGATTTTCGGAAAAAATGACAGCCGTGAATTTTGTGATTACCGAGATCCTTGGCAAATTAGTTATTTGTCGAGACGGTTACCGATAAATAAGGATCTGTCGCATCGTGCCATCGAAAATAATGTTGGGAATCGTGAATTCCACGGTATCTGGTATCATAAAACGGTTTGAAGAACGTCGGACTGTTGATCGGAAGCGAAGATTCGAAAAAAAATCCGTCCGGTCAACGAGAACGATCACAAACACGTGGTTGGGGCCTTTAAACGGAAACCGAACGCCTCTGTTCGAGATGTGACTAAAAGTTGCATGTGAGCAAGACTTTCGTGCAGAATACCAAAACTCGAGCTGGACTACGTACGTTTAAGGTTCAGAAGTCCCCAAATCGTGACGAGAAACAGAATATGGTCGCAAAAAGCCGTGCCCGGAAGTTGTACGACCAGAAGTTAACAAAACCACACTGCTGCGTAATGGACGTATGCGAAGGCGGACTTCTTAATTTGGCAAGCGATTTGTACTTACGGAAAGCGGAGGACACGTTTCGTTACCGAAAGCACCATGAATAGACAGGTGTATTTGGAAGAGTGTCTCCAAAAGCGGCTTCTCCCTCTCCTTAAGGCTCACGACGGTCCGACGATCTCTGGCCGGATTTGGCATCATGCCGCTACACGAAGGACGTGCTAGAGTGGTATAAGGCGAATGATGTCGATCTCCTGCCGAAAGGTCTGAACCCCCCAAACACTCCGGAACTGCGCCCAATAGAAAAATACTGAACCATTATGAAGGAGTACCTTCTAAAACGACCTAATGTGGTGAATAATGTAGAAGACATGAAGAAAGCATGGGTTAATATGCACAAAACTGTCGATTCTGAGGTCGTGCTGAACCTTATGGCTGGGGGTTAAGGCCTTGGTTCCCGCATTCGGGTATAAAGGTGAACTAAATTCAATTAATGATGCTAAAACTAACTTTAATTGTTTCTTTTTACTCCCTGAAAATTTGGTGATAATCGGATACAAACTCGAATTTTGAGAATTAATTTTGTGTGTACGGATTTTAAACGGTACACCCTTTACATTCGATTTTTCTTCACCAAATGTTAACTTGGGTGCTAACATTCCTAAATCGGTTGGTTTTAAAATATTCTGTCGTAATATGCATGCATGATTTTGGCTCTTCACTAAGACGCCATCAGGATTCATCAGGATGGAAAGAACGTTTTGAACGATAACAAGAACCCTCTCATCACATCAGTAGCACCAACTCTCTCGATCATTGGGAGCAAACACACTTTTTACATATACACTGAAGTCGGTTTTTACGTGGGAGATCATTAAGCCAAAGGTCACATTTTGAGAACTTTTGGTCTGCCAATTTTGGTTTTTCAGAAATATATAAGATTTCATACATTTTAGAGGATTTGATAGGTTCTAGATTGGCAATTAAAATGAAATGTTTTTAATTATTTCTCATTCTTTCAAACATGAGCAGTTCCTTCAAGGTTTAGGGAGAAGTTTATTATGCTCGGACACTTTTTGTTTCTCTGAAATAACTAAAAAAGTACTGGATTTCTTTCCCATTTATTTAAAGAAAAACAGTACCATAAGTAAAAACAAAAAAGCGAAAATATCAGCCCTTTGTTATTTGAAATTAATG